AAATTTATGGATCAAAAAAGTCACACCATCCCTCACTGCGGTTTTATAGCCTTTTCGTTTATTGAACTTGCTATTTTTTAAATGACGTTATTTTCCATAAAACACTTGTTGACATGGCAATTGGGCGCCGGAAAAATCGGACAATTGGCTCCAATTCTACTCCAAGAATCTTCTCTGGCCCCTTTTCTTCCGGTCCCTGGCCTTCTAGAAAATGTTTACAAGCCCGGGTGGCCATTTCTTGGGCCCTTGGGCCGCCATCTTCACCCACAAATCCGATTACTGCCGCCGTGAACAAGCCGAAGATCCACCTTCCCCTGCTCCCCCACTTCCGACTCCTTGTTTTTGGGTCCGTGCAATGGGCCGATCAAATCCAATGTTATTCAGAGAAAGGTCAATTCGCGCGGATTAGCGGTCTGCCAATATAAGAATTCGTGCTTAGCTTTGGTAGGGCTGGAAAATAAGATTAGAATAGACTTAGGGGTGAAAGTCGCATCTCTAAAAATTCGAAAATACACTGTGACGACGCGCACTGGTTTATGCGTGCATTGGAGCTTTGCGTACTTGACGACGAGGCGCAACCCTTTACACCTTAAAGAGTTAGTAGATTTTCTTTGGATTTACATTCACCGTTTAACAAATTAGATTCTAATCAAATTCGACTAAAGAAAGTTAATTTTTGGAGTTGTAACCCCCGGGGAGGTAGGACCTTATCGTTTTTCTGCAGGGATATGCGCGACACGCAACGTGCATGCCAATTCCTTACGTAATTGCCTGCCGCGTTGTGTGTCGCGGGGGTCTACCAACACCTCGGGGATCTAGAGTCAGGCTTTAATCCCAAATTTCTGCATAATTTTAGAACATTTTAGCTTCAAAATTAATGATATCCTTCTACCCTTGACGATTCCTTTAATTTTTCGAGTATCCCAGATTCCATGACGCCATATTTTCGGCTTTTTCCGCAATCAGCCTCCACCCGCGCCGCCATGCGCTCCGCCCAAAAATTAAATCGGCTTAAGGTGGAATCGCGGGGCCTAGAAAGCCTGGTGATTGGCCACCGATTTTCATCTTTTCTTCCCAATAGAACCTGCCGGTCACGCGCCACCGGAAATCATGTTTTCTTAAATGATTTTAGCTGGGATGGGCTCTATTCAATTAATTCAGCCATCACCTCGGGGGGTGTCGGTTAATTGGATTGAATCCATTAGCACGGAATGAAGGGGAAAAGCAATTTCAGGGCAGTTAATTTTTGCTTTTTTTAATTGTTGCGAAATCAAATTTATTGATGCAGGGTGATCAAACCTTAAGTCTCAGATTTAAACTCAATTTAAAAAATACTAATTTTTAGAGTTAAAGCAATCAAACTTTTAAAAATTTAAATCTCACAAAAAATGGATTTAAACCAGGATCTGATCTGAATAAAAACCCTGCAAAACAAAATTTAAACCCATTTTTAACTTGTGTGCTGTTTGTGCCTTTATAAAAGCTTGCCAATTTCCCGGTTAAATAATTATGAACTTAAATTATTTTTTCAATTTTTCCTTTTTTTTTATCAATTTAAAAAAGCTGGTTTGCTGATAAAAACGTTAGAAATACAGTAAATTAAATATCCACAGTTTTAGACGTTTTAAGATTTTCTAAAAGCTTTTTAAAGCGACGACATCATTTTTGTACCTGGTGAGTCCATAAGTTCGTGATATTCTTCTAATTCTCAGTATGCTGCAGCTCAGCAGCCGTTTCGAATTCCACTTATCCCCCTCAGCCCCCCAGATTTGCGAACAATAAATCATCATTTTCCGAGTGCTCGGCCCCGCCCTATAATCCGATTATCCCGGCGTCACCCCCCAGCCTATCCCGCCTGGTCGCGGCGTTTTTGGTCGGTCGCTATGGCCCCCCTCTCAATTCCAACAACAATGCCAGCGTGTTCATCTCCCGGTCAGTGTCTGCAATTTAAACAAATATCTGCCCTTCCGATTGTGGCCGATTGACGTCAATGGCGGGTGCAATTAGTGTTGTATTGGAATGGCGGGAACGGTTGTCAACATTTATACAAAAAGTCTGGCGGTGGCCAGCAATTGTCAGCGTTCACACATCATTTTGGCACGTTGATCAGGCTTCTACATAAATACCTTCTGTGCCTTAAAAAATTTGCCAATTTATTATTTTGGATTTTTGTAACACAGATTTTTCTGGATGGTGATTATTTTGGAAGTATTAATAATTCCCAAGTTCAAAAATCTGCGGATCTTTTGCGCGTTCCTTCCAATTTTGAATTCAGACTTTTTTTCTGGGGACATAAATACCTTGCTTTCTTTGTCCCTTTAAAGGGGCCCGGAATTTATTTTTCTGTCGTAATCGATTACGCAGCGCAAAGTTTCTAGCATTTTGAGCATTTCATTTTTTGCATACTCCAAATTCCTACTTATCAGCTTTTGGAAAGTCTCCTTGAAAACACGCTCTTTAAACCGTCAAACATGAAAAAGAAGGGGCATCCCACCCAGGCCACCCCGCCCTTTACGTCATGTCCATCCAATAAAAAAGCCATCAACGGCTCTTCGGAAGCCCGTTTCGCATTGATGCCTTGATTGGTTGCCCGAAAAAAAGTTTTTGATAGATCGCCCTCTGCTGGGCCTACAAACTTTCAACGTGAAAGAAAATCTCAGACAATCCTCGTCTCATTAGGACATAATTTATTGGCAGTAAATTTTTACGAAAGAGTTGCATGCAGGCATTTGCGTTGTCTAATGAATTATAGCTCAGTTCCGTGAACACGGGGCGTCGCGTTGCGTGTCGCGTGCACACTTACTTCGTTAAAATAATCTTTCCCACTGTACCATTTTGAATGACTAGAACTTTTTTTGATGGTTGATTAGCCGAATGCATTCCAAAAATGTACAAAAACCACGTCCCATCCATAATCTCGCGCGCCCTCTAAAGATATCTCCCCGACCTCGTGCTCGTCGCAAAATCGCTTCAAAAATCGGGCCCCATCCATCAACACGATCTCCATTTTCGGGATTGACGCAAATGCGAGGGGGAACAGGTTCCGGGACAATCCATCGGCCGCACGATCTCTTCACCCTAGCCCACCCCGGAAATTCCAATATTTTCCCCATGCGCCGACCTTCCTTTTTCCATTATTTCCGTGTTTACACCCGGCCGTCCCTCCCCTCGACTTGTAGAACCCATAAAACTTCAGGAAAAGGCCACGTGAAAATTGGGGAATTTTGGGTTTCTTTTCGAGGTTAGAAGTCCCTTTTGCAGAAAGCTCTCCAGACTTGAAAATACGATCTGAGTAGTATGAAATTTTTTGAATGTTGCAAAAACTCTCTTTAACGCTGCCGCCCGCGTTTCGATTCTATCAATCTTTCGACATGCAGTTGTCGATTTTTTTGCGTTCTCGATAACCGCTGAATCGGAACGCGCTGTGGGAGAATGGCAGAAATTTGGCACCAGAGTTCGCATTTTTTGAAGTTTCCATTGAATTCCTATGAAAACTCAAGCTTAATGAAAATCTAAGAAGCTGTTTGCAGCTGTTTTGAGTTCTAAAATATATCAAACCAATTTTATTTTCGAGATTTGGCTGAACCTAGAATGATTATTGCTTCCGATGCCTTTCAAATCGATCTCAAATCAAATTTCAAGACGATTTAAAATCGAATTTTGAAGCCACTTTTAACGCGAGTGGCTGAAAATCAGTTTTCCTTTAGTTACTCTTTTTCCAGGCCAAATTTGTATCTTTATCGCCTCACACCCCAGTGGCCAGTTTTACAACCCCTGGGAGCAGCTGAAAAATCAGGGCAGGTGCAAAAACCTTTGAGAGGCTTATGCAAAATTGAGAGTTGGGTGCAGTGTGGCGTTCGTAAAAACCTAGTCTATATTTAAGAAACAACCGAAACCGCTTAAATTTGAAAAACCGTTCGGTTTTTGCCTTTTTCCGCCAATCGATGCTGTCACGTACATTTTAGACTCTCAAATTATTCGGTTACGGTAAATTTTTATTTAGTCAAGTTCCGTACTCTTATTGTAGCTTGTCCCAACGCTTCATGCATTTCATGCCATTTCCTTCCTGCAAGACGTTCCACCCTTCCCATTCCTCCCGTCCGTCCATGCCATCTTTTCAAAAATGTATTCGCTTTTTGGCAACACAAAAAAACGTTGTTTCCCATGGCCGAGACACCAGCCCCATTTTTTTCGGCTCTTCACCTCTCTGGCTTCTTCTTTTGCTCATGTTTCTGGGGCACATGCCGGGGGAGGACCGCCGCCCGACATGACCGAGGTCAAAATCGATCAGTCGGCGACCCTTTCCTCTACTGGAAAAACTTTTGTGGCCACTATGACCGGTTGTCGCACCTCTTTCCCCTCTTTCGACTTTTTGCATTCCATTCCTGCTACTGTTTGCTAAAGGGTGGGGCGGAGGGTGGGGTCTTCTGAACGGGAAATGGCGGGTCGGTTGGGTTTAAGGTTTGGTTTCTTGACCAACCGCAAACCAGATTTTCGGAAGCTTTTTTGCGATTATCGGCCGTTTTCAGTGCTTACCATAACTCTCGAAGAAGATTTTTCATTATTTCCATTAATATGGTAATATTTCGTAGCAATTTCGCGTTTTGTTTGATTTCGTAGCAAAAGATTTTGGGCTTTCCGAGTATCTCTTGACTTCGACGGCCCTTGGCCCGCACCAATTCTCACCAAAAAGTCGTGAAATATTTTTTGAGATTAACGAAAATCCACAAGTTTTCTTCAGGCTGGAATGGTCCTTTAAAATCCACTTTTGGCGTTTCTTGGATAGGTTTAATCATTTTAAACATTTTTTGGTATTTTTGTCGTGAACCACACTTAAATTCTTGAATATTACTTCAATCGTTCTTTAAAAGTTGTATTTTGGAGGGATTTGCATTGCTTATTTTTTACTGAAATATTTATACATTTGGAATGTTGTTTAATTGATGTTTTCCCTTTTCCACGATCTCCCTGTTTCTTCCTAAAAATTATTTTGCAGTTTGATGCGCAGGGTACTGTTCCTGACAGCAAATGTCGGCTCACTTTTTGAGGAGGACGCCCGGTTACAGGGCCAATGGCTGAATGTGATTACGGAGGTAAGCAGGTTTTATGGCTTAAAGGCATGGTGCCATCAAGCATATGCCCGGGTCATTAATGCTTTTCCAGCGTCGTAATCCCATCATTTTATAGCGAATTCTCGGCGAACAGGCCGAATTCGTGGTGATGCACATGCAAGAGACTGGCGGCAAGAATTTTCAGCAGTGTTCGGGACAGGTTTAGAGATTTTTAGCGTTCGTTAATACGCTTTTAGGTGCCTGGGCTAGTCCAAAAACTCTACGACCGGATACGACAAGAATATCCTGTTGCGCGAGCAATTTTGGATATTGATTTTGAGCAGGATATGTACACGGTATGTCTGTCAATTAATCTGAAAACTAATAATTTTTTGGAGCTTTCGGGCTAGTTTTCCGTTTACAAACATCAATTCAATCAAAATTAACAGTTTACTTAAATAAAAATTACCGCCATTTTATATGCAAATTTCAGGCGCTCGGTTCGATGTATTTCGTCCGAAAATCTTCCGTCGACAAAGTCGAACAATACAATTTTATTGCCGGCCGGTACGAGCGGTTAAACCCGGGTATCGAGATGATTACGAAAGGTATGAAATCCATAGCCATTACTTGACTTACACGCTGCTTTAGACCTTGAAAACTACTCCCTCGTCATCAAACAAAAATTCCCAAAGCACTTTTGGCCCGCTTTTAAATGGGGGAGAAAAGGATTCGTCCATGTGCGATTCCGCTTTAATAAACAGTACGTTGATTTTTCTATAATTCAAAGGACCACATTTTTTAGTTATTTTGATTTGGTAAATGTTCATTTATTCCACGACGAGAATAATTTGGCGTTGATACACGAGGTGGGTCCGGAAATTATTCAAAATTTTTTGATTTCCTTGTCATATTTTTGGTAAAAATGTCTGAATTATGCCGTTGAATCAATTATGAAAGTTTAGAACCCCAACCTCTACTCCTCAAATCGGCAACGAGCCCTCGCCTTTGTCTTGGCCCATTTGAAAGAGACCCAAAACGGCCACCCGTCCCACACGTTCCTATTTGGTGACCTGAATTTCCGGTTAGACTCGACGAGGTTTTTAAATGTTAGTTAACGGAATTTTTGAATATACCAAATTCTTTTAGAAATTAACAGCCGCAACAGAAAGCCACCCGATCGACGAGTCAGACCTGCACAGCCACGCGAGTATGGCAAACAATTTGAATGCGCCGCAGGTCCTGCATAGCAATTCGGGTGAGTTAAAGTACCATAAAATTAAAAGCCTTTTTCTTGTTCGTTGAAATATTCTAAAGGCACGCACCAGGCATGGCTTTGGACAAAGGCAAAACAGACGAAACATGGCCTTTAAAGCGCACGTTCAGGGAGGGGCCGTGTACTCGTCCCAACGTGTACACCCTATGGACGTAGGGACCGCGCGCAATGCCTGCCCGTGCTGTAACAGGCCATTCGCCTCCCTTGCGACGTCGCGCGCCCCTCACCCCCTCGCCAGGTTGTAGCTGTGGCTGACTGGATACATCCGCGCCCCCGAGCGGGGGGCCCGGGTTCGACCCCCGGCCGCGGCGAAAATCTTTGCGTTTTTCCAAAAAAAACGTCCCTGAACGTGCCCTTTAAGGGATCCTTGAGTTTCTATGGATTCAGACCCGCGCGCGTCAGGCAGTGCGCGAAATTTACTCGGCGGATAATCGCTTACGCTCTCTATTTCCAAATCGACCGCGAACGCAGGACGCAACGCGCGCGAATTGCGTTCGTGCTAGAGGTGGAATCGTCATTAAGGCCAGAAAAAATGCCCACTCGCGTTGCATGTCGCGGCGTGTAAAATCTGGATGGTGTCCCTAGCCCTGCCTTGCCCGTCCCTTTAGAGAGACAGACAGAGGGGCAGATAGAGAGAGCGAGCGAGAGCCAGAGCGAGAGGGAGAGAGATAGAGAGAGAGCTAGAGAGAGTGAGAGAGAGAGCGAGAGAGAGAGAGAGAAAGAGAGCGAGCGACATCAGCGTTTCCCTCAAAACAAGCGAGGCAAATTCATCCTTTAGGTGGTGACCTCGAGGTCAGCAACAAGCTGCCCCTCCCCACCGAACAACTGAGGAGGACGGTATCAGCTGTCGAATTCAGGAGAGAGGTTGCAAATGAGGATTCCGATTCCGAAACCAAGTAGGAATTGCCTGATATACAAAATCGTCGATTGTTCAGTTCCAGCTGCGTACTCCGAATAGAGAAAAAGCGATTTGATTACTTCAACGCCAAGCAGTTGCTGCAGGACTGGAAATCGTACTTGGAGTTCGACTTCGAGACGAAGGCGTTTCCGGAGCTGTACGAGGTGCCGATCAACTTCCCACCAACGTAAGGATTTTCTATATTTTATTTTGAGGACGTTTCCGCCCTTAGCATCGTTTATCAAAAAATTTCCCTAAAAGCTTTTTCTAATTAACGCGCCTACAAATCATATTTATCGAGCCGCAGGTGTTTAATGCCTAAATACAACTCCGGTGCACGCTAAAATGTCTCAAAATCCGCAAAGGCAGTAAGCGCAAAATCCTATTCTTTGTTTAAGATTTCTTGATCGGCAATTCTCTGCTCTTACATGCTACTACGTAGATAGTAACATCCGTAATTCTCTGATTCACACCTCACAAACTACAAAAACTCTCCCTTCACCGATTCTACCCGTCACCACGATTTTTTCTCGGTCACAAAACATTCCAAATTACGCGCGCTTTTTCGGGAGCCCCCATCGGAAGCTTCTTCCTTTTTTTCGCAGGATTTTACCACCCCCACCCGGCGGGCCTAATCACCCGATTTACCCCCTGATAAGCCTGGAGCTGCTACCAGACCTCACGAAATATGGAAAGAACGTGGCTTTCGGAGAAGAAGCTTTCTTTTGAGGGTTATCTGGGTGATGGCACATTGGACTGGAGGATAGATCTAGTCTTCTGGATTCGGCCTGATTTACAACCACCCTCAAAATCGGGCTTATCTGATGGACAGCCGAGCGATTTGTCTGCAAAAAAATACGGTGTAGCCATTGGGGCAAAAAACGAACCTTGGACGGTCGTAAAATATTGCGGAGGTGTCAGTTGAGGGCAGTAAAGAGGGGCAAAAAAGTAGTAAATTTTACGGGGGTTGGTAGGAAGATCATTAATTTTGTAGTTCGAAGGAGTGAGAGAGAGAGAGAGAGAGAGAGAGAGAGAGAAAGAGATACAGACTTTACCACCTGGCACTGTCCCTTCAAAAGCTCGGATCTGCCAAAAAAACGAACAAAATCAATTACCATTTCTTCAGATATCCCTGGAGTGAAGACCCGACGGATTGCGGCGTTCTGATGAAAACCCGAGCCCCAGCCTGGTGTGATCGAGTTTTGATGAATGAGAACGCGTGGAGAGTGGTTAGTTTCAGCGTTTTCAATGCGGCTAGAAGAGCGAAAAACGACCCCAATCGCTGGCCACATCTCGACAATTCCGTTCGACACCAAAATGCTAAACCGAAATCCCAAACAGTACCTTTTGGCATTCGAAAATTAGCCCCCAAAATTCCATTGCCAATTCCCAAAATGTCACGCGTGTCTAGGCCAAGTTAATGCTATCCCAAAAAATTCCAGGTTCAATCGGGTGCCCCGGCTTATCACAGTTTTGGACGAGACACCTGCATGGGTGATCACAAGGTATGCTTTAAGAGATTTTTGGCTTTTAAAGGGCGTTTTGGCGATCGGAGATCCTTGAAGGGATGTCTAATGGAAAGTCGAGTAAGAGTTTTTAGCCAGACTTGAAAACGTATGGGCGAAGATTTCTGAAAGGAAGCGTGTCACGATGTTTGTGCAACTCAGAGCCTATTAATGCATTTAAAGGGGTGTGACAGCAAGATTACGTCCAGATTTTGATCTGGCAACCTAAAAAACCCATAACAAGTTCTTGAGGGTTCAAAAAAACTAGTACAACTTTTTTTAGCTTCGCTCGTCCTTTAAAATAATTTTTAAAAAGCCGCAAAAGTGAAAGATTTCACTTTACTAACTTTACCCTAATTTTCAGCCCGTCTACCTCTCCTTCGCCGTCCCGGACAGCTAGTAGTCGTGAAAAAACGATTTTAATTAATTTTTACCTGTCTTAATCCACCTCTCCGTTTCCCAGATTTCTATTCCAACTCGCCCAACTCACGTTCAAAATGCATATTGACCTGAAAAGGCTACGATAGAGCACGGTAGAATTTTTGCAGTGCTACGGTAGCCCGTCCACCCAGTCTTATTACGTGATTTTCAAGAGATTTTGCTGCCGTTTTCTTGGTTGTTACCGATTCATTAATGAAACAAAAACCCGAAAGCCATATCGTTCAAGCTCTAGCTTAGGATACCTTACAAAAATATAGTCAATCCCTTGGATTCCACCGTACTGTGATTTTTTTGGTGTTGCCCAGAGAGATAAGGAAAATTATTTGACCGTGCTGATTTTGAGTGTTTTTGTTGCTTTTGTGGTATCAACAAATTAAATATTTTCGAAAACGTTTTCTTAATCGGATTACATACCATTTATGCTGCGCACTGATATGGGAGCAATTTGTAAAAAAAAATGGAGAAATAAACCGGAAATACCGTATTTTGCGATTTTTAGCGTTTCTTGGTTTTTAGGTTCTAAAGTAAAATTTTGGTTACGGAAGTGTTTCTAAAGTTATGATTTTTACAATAGTTTCTTAGTTGCGGTATTTCCAGCCCCAAATTAGAATATACAATTTGTTGGTCAAGGCAATTCCGGGGAGGGCTACCAGGCGATGGATGCAGATTTTTGTATTTTTTTTTTGTTTTGTCTTGAACGGAACGACGGGGTGAAGGAAATCACAAATTTTCGGGGTGTAGGGTATGGTATAAAGAGCGAAAAAAGCGCTTGTTCTTTATTGTTGAATGGCGAGCTGCGGAAGCGGGGCCTCAACGGTCAGTACACCGTCCGTCGAAAGAGTGGAGCTGATCAATTCGGGGTTAGTGCCGCGCGGGAGCAGGAATTCCTGTAAGGGTTTTTGATATAAAAAAAAACAATTTGTTTTTAGCCGTAACCCAGAAAAGCTCAGTTTAATTAAGGCATGGCAGACACCCGGAAAGAACGAGCAAAAATAAAACCAAAAAAAATAGGCGTTTTAGCGTGTTTTGAATATGACCGTCTGCAGAGAAAACTGAGAATTTCGATTTGTTAGATTCGTCGGTGTTCATTTTTCGATACAAATGTAAATATGGCCGATCGATTGGAGTTTTGCTAGTTGTCATAAATCACTTCTCAAACCGACTAGAAGACACATCTGCTAGGAAAGCAGTAATTATCTCGATTCAGCCTCTCAAGGGCTACCTAAAACTCTCAAAAGTTTCGGCCAGAATGAAGTTACCGTGATACATTTTAAAGTGTCTGTAAAACCAAACCAAAAGTGAATAAAGGAATGCCCGTCAGAAAACTAGAGAATCGAACACTCCGCCGCCCCACAACACGTGAATCAAATTTTCCGGTGCAGCCCCTTTCCCTAGGGGCCCATCAAAGGGCCATCACCATCCCCAAAGCCACTTTTTTGAGATTCAAAGCCTCAACCCAAAACGAAAGATCAAGGGTCCGGGCTAGGGTTGTTATATGAGCTGGCTTGCAGGCAAATTTGTTTGCATGAAAATGCGGTAAGCAACTGTTTACCCGCAAGGTTGTTTGTGAATTCTTTACTCAACAACTGGCAAACAATTTTGTGGCAAGCAAATTAGGAAGTCAAACTCAACTCGATTTCCATTTTGTTTGATGCGGCTTTTGTTCAGACCGGGTCAAACCATATTTGACGCGAGTAAACTCGACGGCGAGTTGTTGTTTGACCTCGAAATTGTTTGCCGGAAGTTGCAAAGATGCCAATTTGCGAAAGGAAATTATGGAAAACAACGAAAATTGGTCCAATTTTAGTTGTTAATTGCAAGGTAATTTCCTTTCGCAAATTAGCATCTTTGCAACTTCCGGCAAACAATTTCGAGGTCAAACAACAACTCGCCGTCGAGTTTACTCGCGTCAATTATTGTTTGACCCGGCCTGAACAAAAGCCGTATAAAACAAAATGGAAATCGAGTTGAGTTTAACTTCCTAATTTGCTTGCCACAAAATTGTTTGCCAGTTGTTGAGTAACGCCCTCGGAAAATAAATTTGCGTGCAAGCCAACTCATATAACAACCCTAGTCCGGGCACGCACGTGACCTTTAGAGCTGCGAATTTTCGTGAGAAAAACGAAAAATGGCTTGCCTGGTTGTACTCGCGGAAGACGGTGCGCTGCGGGGTCTTCTCCTCATGCTTGGCGTGGACGAGGAGACGGTTGTCGATCGTCTTTACCGTCACCTCTTCCGGTTTGTACTGAGCAACGTCGAATCTGAAGGGGATTGAGGGTTAAAGGGTATGTGACAGCTAGATTCTGAGCTGTTTAAAAAACGATAATAAAGCTTTTCAAAGGGTAAGTTTCAGAGAGTAAATTTTTATTCATTTGGAGCGTTTATAAAACCACGTCAAACATCGTTCAATTTGCAAGAAATCAGATTTGATATGCCGGCAATCGGGAAAACCTTGGAAATCATTCATTTTGGGCTGATTTGCATAAGTTTGGACTTTTAAAGGAACCTGTAAGTCAGATAATCACAAAAATCAGTATTTTTCGAGGTCATGCTCCACATTTTTAGAAAAAAACTCATACCTCAGTCGCAGCGTCTTGCCATCACTTTCATCGCGGATGAGGGGGCTCTTCAGGTTGTCGAGGTATGGGTCATAGGTCGGCCTGACGGCCATCAAGTCGTGTCCACCTCCTGAAAGCATCCTACCTTATATAATTTGGTCGCGTATCTTTGTGTGTGTGTGTGGATGTCACTTTCGAGCCCCGATTTGAGGGCGTTCCCGTGTCCAAAACGTCCCAATTCTCCGTCACTTGGGGGAATCGACCCTTCTGTTTCCGATCGCGTGTTCAGAATTTCGATAAAATACAAGTTTACAAAGTTAAAGCCGGTTTTACTCATTTTTGAGGTCCCTAAGGGCTAATTTGCATAATGTGAAAATATACAAATTTCCTGATTCTTGCAAGTTGCACGCGCGCGTGTGGTCGGACGGGGGAAGGGGGTCCGAAGGACCCGAGCTATCGGAAAGGGTAATTGCTCATGCAAAGGCCACATTCCAGCGCCCAAGGCCCGCGAAGCGGGTTTTGGGCGCTGGTTAAATAAATAATTAGAGCGCGTAATCGGTTCAGGATGCCTAAAAGAAATGCGTACGACTACGTTAGGCTCCGAGCTTACAGGTATACAAATTTAAAGCGTGTAAACGATTTCAGATGGCTAAGAAATGTGTACGACTGCGTCACGCGTCGAATTTACAGGTATATAAAATCAATGCGCGTAATCGGTCCAGAACAGCTAAAATAAATGCCTGCCGCTGCTTTAGGCAACGAAGTAATTACAGGTATACAAATTTATAGAGCGTAATCGGCCAAGCTTCAGCTTCAAAACCGGTTCGGAAAGCTAGGCTACGCAACGAATCTCAACGCGTAACAATTTCTAGGTCGTAATCGGTCAATCCAGGCTGTAAAACCGATGTCAGGAACTACGTTGCGCTACGAATAAAAGATTATTTCGATTGCAGAAAAAATTAGTAAAAAATATTTGTACACTAAAGACGTTAATCATACGTTACGCAATGAATTTACATCCATCAAAATTCATAGTGCGAAGTCAGTCAATCCTTGGCTGTAAAACCGATGCCAAAAGCTACGTTACGCTACAAATCTACCGTTTTCACAACTTGGAGAGGTTTTTGCGATGGCGAGAAAGGCGATAAAGATTTTTTCTATCACAAAAAGAAAAGTTGAAAGTGAAGCGTCTGAAAAGAATTTTTAGAATCCTAAAACCGCCAACGAAAATACCCGAATGCAAATGCGCATCCATCCGCTAAAGTTCTGTTGATGCGTGTGCGGCTCTTCGGGGGTGGGTTATTTTTTTTCTGTTGCCCAAGAGAGACGACTCCCGGGCGGGCTTTTAGAAAAAAAAAGAGAAGGAAGGGGGTCCCGCAGCGGGCCTTTCAATGGGCCCTGGAGGGAAGCGGCCACTGGGCAAAACAGCCCCGAAATGCCGGCGGCGACCTCAAGGATTAGCGGGTATGGATTAAAAGTAGCTGCAGCGGGAAAAATAAACTATACCAGGGTTGAAAAGCCGCTTCGCGACTTTTCAACCCTGGCCCCGTCTCGGACTCCATAATCTGCCCCTGGCATAATTGTCCTCGATTCAGACAGCAAAATAAATGAAAACAACCCTTTCAGCCTCTTTATATATAGGCGACCACCCACTTCCGGTCTATGCTAATTATCCCTAACAAAGAGGTTTTTACAAAAACCTAAATTTAATAGCGATAATGGCCAATTTTTGAAAAGCTGATATGTGTGCAGTGATCCCTAGACCATTACGCACCTAATGACGTATCGAACGTAGCCTAATACCCGTCCCTGCTTGAGATATCCTCCGGACAGACAGACGGAAGAGATGCAAAGTGGCACACACACACAGACACACACACAGACACTATTCTTTTATATATAGTAGGATTAGTATCGAAATGTTGTCTCCTAATGCGGGAATTCTTATGGTTTCTAGATAAACCAATGGCTTGAAGCCCGGGTTTTCCGGTTTTATTTCCGGCGTTGTCGGCAATTTGCTAATTTGCACCTGGCAATTAAAAAAGTCCATTAAAAATCAACAACCGTATTGATTATTCCGGATTCTGACGTTTTTATTTTTATAGAATACTTGAAAGAAAGAAAAAAATAGATTCAAAATTAAATACGGCATTAAGAAAATCGAAGCTCATTAAAAGGTGAAATCTTGAGTTTAAAATCGGAATCCAAAGGCCTGTTTTGAAGAAAAGCTGGCTAAAACGTTAAAAAAATTTCCGCATAGCTGGCTGCAGGCCCAAATGACATTCAAGGGAAAGTAAAATTTCCGCAGAAATTCACGAAAAAATACCCCGGAATCCAGTTTTTTTGGAGTAGCAGCGTTTTAGACAATTTTAAGGCAAAATGATGCGGATCGGGCGCTTTTTAGGAATAAAAATTTGGAGATCTAAGTGACCCCAGAAACGGATCCATTTTGGGCTCCGATTTTCGCCACTTTTCAAGACCATTTGATCAAACCTAAACATCCAAAGTGGATGGAATGGGGGACCTGGAACGCTCATGGGGAGATTCCGGTGAGAAATCCAGCAAAAAGAGGGCCCCAGCCTGGGGCATTCAGCCCTCAGAAGGGGCCGCCACCGCCGCGCTCCCGGGAATTTTCGCGTGTTTTTTTTTTGTTGGTCGCCGGGATGTGAGGGCTGGAGAAGGGGAGGAGGAGGAGGAGGAGCACCCACCAAAAAAGGCCCGTCCCCCCTAAAGAGCACGCAAAATTTGAGACCCGCCAGGCTGTGTCCCGTTTCGTTTTTTGTTAGGCTGGAACGAATGTTTACGACAGCATAGTTTGGGGGAATAGGATGCGGATAAATGGAATTTTTGGATTTTTGTAAGTACCGCTGAAAAAGCGTTAAGAGACGACAGATTATACTATTTGCTTTAAATTCTATAGCCGTTCTTTATGCTGAAAAATAGCGATTAATGAAACCACTTTTAACTTAGTGATACAAATAATAATACCTAAAAAATTCCATATATATTGGCGTATTTCGTACAATTTAAAGACCACATTTTTTTGCCAGCCGTTTACTCTTAAGTGCAATTTTTTGCCATGGAACTTCGGATTAAAGATTCTACATACTTATTCTCCTTAAAATAGTGATAATTGGTTTAATTATGTCTGAAAATCAATAAATCCCGGGATTTTTTGATAAAAACAACTCAAATAATTTATTAAGTTTTTATTACGGTCATAAACTAGCGCAACTTATCGCGTTTTTTGCTACATTCATCCCGAGATTACGTAAAAAACGAAAAAATAAAGTTTGTGGTTGTCAAGGACCCGGATAGCTTTCAGAAAATGAAGTCTGCGCTTCCCCCACCCGCCATTCAAAGCTTTCAAGCTGTTGCGGAAGCAAGAAAAGAAAGTCTTTTGATTCAATTACGCGATGCCTGTACGGCGCACCCCTTTGCACTACGCCCTGTGTGCGCCCTCCCCGTCCCCCGGCACAAACCCCATTTTTGTGCGTGTCTTTTTCATTCCTTCCACTTCGCCCGTCTTGTCCGGCTGCTTGTGTTATTTTAGGCTATTGCCGTTGTCTAGATAAATACTTTGTCCTCTCTTCTTTCGTCATATCAATTCAGGTGTCAAACGACTCTCTCGCAAGGTATTCCCTTGGAGTGAGCCAGCACTCAAGAACTCACGCACAGCCACACCTACAACAATTGGCGATCAAGGATTCGTGCCGAATTGAAGAATGGCCGACGACCTGGAGCTCAAGGACGTGCTGAAGCAGCTCGCCGCCGCGAACCAGCAGATGACCGCTGTCATGGTCGCTGGACAAGAGCGAGAAGCCAAGCTCATGGCTGAGCTCGAGCGGATCCGCGCCGAGGTCCAAACGCACACGGACTCGGTTAGCGAAGATTCAAGCCAAACCCAAAGGCCTCTGAATGCAGTCGAGTTGGGCGCTCTAGCCACTCGCATAAGTCGATTCGAGTATGACCCGTCCCAGGGGATTACGTTCGAAAAATGGCATGAGCGGTTCAAAAACCTCATCGCCACCGAATCGCGCATCTCGGAGGAGAACAAAAAGCATCTTGTTCTCGGGATGCTGGATGCCAAATCCTATGGCTTGCTAGCGGATCATGCTCGACCCAAAGATGGTTGAACAGTACAACCGGAAGCACGGCGCAAAGAAGCGTTCCTACGAAATCGACCAGTCTGTCTGGGTTCGAGATTATAAAATACCTAGCAAACCTGTCTGGGTAGAAGGACGTATTTCTAAATTGTGTGGAAAGTCCAGGTACGAGGTTGAAATTACCTCTGGAGTCGTTTGGCGTCGACATGCCAACCAGCTACGCGCTCGATTCGTTCGAGACGTGCTCGATGATATCCTGGAAGAGTTCGATCTTGCCAGCGATGATAAAGTCAATGTGCAGGACACTGCTCCACCTCTTGACAAGCCTCTCGAGAAGCCAGCTGCATCATCCGCCACCACTCCTACATTGATTCCCATTGTACCTGTTCCGAATGTTCCCCATCCCACCGCTCACCGGCCGACAACACCAACAAAGTCGCCAACGAAGTCGCACCCACGATCACCGGCAAGATCACCAGCCGTGCCGCGACGACCTCAAGTTGAACTGCCCGAAATCGTTGCTCAACACCCGCAAACTGAACAACTCGATGACGTTGTTCCACAACCGCAAGGACGCGACGAAGAACCTGAACTTCGTCAACAAGATCAAGCACAACCTGTGAAGAAGACAAAGAAGACTGATGCCCTTGGACCGATCCTTCACCACAAGCGCATCCGGAAACCGCCGTCGCGATATCAAGATTGAAGTGCCGTCAACGTCGTCTCCATCAAGCTCAACTTCATCACCGAGTCAAGCTCTTCATTCAAGGAGGAAGATGTTGCGGAAGCAAGAAAAGAAAGTCTTTTGATTCAATTACGCGATGCCTGTACGGCGCACCCCTTTGCACTACGCCCTGTGTGCGCCCTCCCCGTCCCCCGGCACAAACCCCATTTTTGTGCGTGTCTTTTTCATTCCTTCCACTTCGCCCGTCTTGTCCGGCTGCTTGTGTTATTTTAGGCTATTGCCGTTGTCTAGATAAATACTTTGTCCTCTCTTCTTTCGTCATATCAATTCAGGTGTCAAACGACTCTCTCGCAAGGTATTCCCTTGGAGTGAGCCAGCACTCAAGAACTCACGCACAGCCACACCTACAACACAAGCTAAAAAATGCCGGCTAGAATTTATTCAATCCGGCTGCGCGGGGGGAGGGGGGCTCGCGTGGGCTTTTCGCGAATGGGGAAGCAGATTTGTTTGGGGGGGATTTTCAGTTGTTTTCGGGCTGGATATGTGGCTGCAAAATGTAATGAAATGGCCAGAAAGGTATAAAAAACAGTCAAACACTCAGATAAACTTTTTCGAAATTTTTTTTGGATTAAGAATACCTTGAGATGAACCGATTCCGTTGTGAAAAAAAACTCCTTAGACGATCAACTACGAAACCCACCAAAATGACGGTCATCCCGGTGCCCCTGGCTCGAGTACGAACGATTCTCCTGACGCGACGACGAGTTGGAAAAGTTGTGAGCAGAGTTGGAGATCGCACCCTGTGGAGCTCCCTTGCTTTGGCCTAAAAAGTGTTGTATTTTATGACAAAAATTACTACATACCCTCGAACTCCTGTCTCAAGCGACGCATCTCGTCCTCCACCCTCCTCATCTCCGCCTCGAACCTGTCGCGCATGTTGCCGAACTCGTTGTCAACGACCGAGTAGTTGGTCGGCTTCACGTTGATCGGGCGTTCCATGGTCTGAAATTTCGATTTTACGGTGCATTCGTATCTTGTTGACAATTAAAAAACAAGGCTTTCGATGAAAACAAAAAAAAACATAGTTTTTCCAATCGGAAACTCAATCATGAAAATACCGACAGCGAAAACGCCGACAATCTAAAGATAAAATGGAAAGGCCAAATGACGCACGACGACGTTTCAAATCCAAGCGTTTCCGTGTCGTCATTTTTGACTGTCGGCATTCGTAATGAAAAGCGCAAAAATCGTTTTCAAACCAAATGCTGGCACTAAAAATACCGACGACGACAAGCGAAAAAGTTGGACTTCCGAGCTGTTATATTACGCGCGAATGGCACTCCAAAATGAAAGAAATTGCGTGTCGGCATTTTTTGCTGTCGGTATTCTAAGCGCCGGAAAAGCCCCAAAAGGAAAGAAAGCACATCGAGAAAGCATGCAAATTTTAAAAATATTGGACAAAATCGAAAACCAAGGCAAGAATGAAATAGGGTTCCTTATTGTTTCAAAACTGAGTTGAAAATGGATAGCTTAAGCTACTTGCGTAAATTCATAATACATTTGTGAAAAAGCGAGCTAATTCTGCATGTGGCTGCCGGTGAATGCCTCATTGAAACTCATCGCAACGTATATAGTCGATTCCCGAAAAATTGGCTACGAGACGCAACACACGACAGGAGCGAGCGCAACCAAAATACGAAACATTCCGTCCTGACGTTTCGAGAAAACCTGACGTACGAAAAGAGAGACGGTTCCAGAGAGGTACCCATTTTTCGAGCGCATTGACTCAGACAGGTTGTGTAACCTGGAGCATTGGGGAATCGGGAAAAATCGGATCACCATAATTTTGGGGGACGCGGCCGAAAAATTGAAAAAATGTGGAGGGAATCGATGACTGGGTCGGAATTCTAATTTCCCATTTTTTTTGTGGATGCGTGAGTGTGTGCGGGAATGGCCCGTTGGAGGATCGGGTTACCATATCCGTTCAACAAACAAAAAAAGAAAAGAAAGGAAAATGGCGTTTTGAATTCCCAAATGGGCGAATGGTGATGGAGCACGCGAAAAGTTGTTTTGCATAACGTGCGCTCTTAAAACCATTCTAACAATAAAATTTTGTAGAAGCAATCTAGGTAGATCAAAAACCATCTGCTTAACCTCCAAAAAAATTAGGCAAGAGTTTATTTAAACTCGGCTTTTGTAAATACTACGTCAATTCCAAAAAGCGTGGTTTAGAATATCAGATCGCCCCTAAAATCATGATGAAAAATGGAAAACCCTTGTTAAAGGAGAATTTTTTCATGATCCTAAAATCGGCGATTTCCGTGTTAATCTTGCGAAGGTGCTACCGGTTTTCAAAACCTAAAAACACAAAAGAGATATCTTAACTATCTTTTAATTCATGAATTCCATCCGATAGTGTAGAAAATTATAAGATTTTTGATCAACGAGTTTACAAGGAATCAATTTGTTTATATTTAGAGGGGGCGGATGCTTGGATGCGCGGGGGGGCGGAGGAGGTGTAGGTGGAGGCGAACGGCCGGGATAAAGCGATGTGGAACGCGAGAGTGTGTTGTTGTAATCTGGCGGAACAAATGGAACGAGGCGGCTGGAGGGCCACATCCCCGGACAGGGCTACCAGATGGCCGCTCGGGTCTGCGGGCAAGAAAAATTGCAAAAAAAAATGTGGATGTCTCGCCGGAACCCGGATTTCGGGATCCGGGAAAACATGATTCATTGGCTGATAATTTTCATTTGTGAAATTTTAGCCATTAATCGTGCGGGCAAACCAAAGCAATGGATTCGATGGCTATAGCTTGCCTACGTTTTTGCGTAGCTACACGCGCCGCGAGCCACGTAAAGCGAGGCCTATTTTTTCGTTACGAAACGGATTACGATCGTAAATCACTGCGAATGGGCCACGAAAAATTCTACCAATTAATAGCCAACGAAAACCATCGAAAAGCCTTCCAAAAACCTTTAAAATTTGCAGATTTGAATTTCGGCTCTGGATGATTAGAAAAGTCCAAAATGCATTAATGGCGCCTAGGGTGCCGATCTTTATGGTTTTGACCTGGTCAGAAGCTCTTACAAAATTGTTTTAAAAACTAAGATAAAAGCTACACCGGCAAAAATCCCAGACAAAATTTGGTAGAAAAATCAGCTACCGTGATAGCCTGCTGCTATGTGTTGCAATTGTGAAATGTGCGCGAGTGCAATCATCTCTTTGCGATGTTTCTCTTTCTCCATCGCTCTCTCTCTCTCTCTCTCTCTCTCTCTCTCTTCCAAATTTTTCTGGCATTTCTGTTTGGGCTGTCCATCCGGGTTGTGGGGGAGGAGAGTGTGGGGGGAGGAGAAATTGGGGTGGACCGGACGAGTCGTACGGGGGGATCGGTCGATCGATGGGTCGAGACCTTTCTAGCAAATGCTTGGTGAAATTTCGGGAAATGAACTACTCATTTCGAGGTCGACGGGACAGAATTGGATCGTGCTTGTTTCGGAGCAAGAATGGCTGGCTGGAGATACGGTCCTCGGGGATACGATTTTGATCAGTTCCGGCTTCGACAAAACTTAGGGCTAACCGAAGCACTCGGTGTTTAAAAAAAGATGCTTTTTGTGCCCAGTGTATTAAATTAAACCATAAAAACCAAAAAACAATCTATAAAAGCACGAAAATAAGAGAAACCTGCTAGGTGTTGTTCGGCATCAAAACTGGAGCCGGAAGCTTATTCCAAAAACCCAAAAATGCGTGCAAAAAACTTCATCTGATTTGTTCAATAAAAAAAGTATAAAAATGCGAACAATAATAATTTTCGCCATTATTAACCGATAAAGTTGGTTTGAAATCTAATGGTGTTTTTTTGTGTCCAGTATATTAAATTAAACCATAGAAACAAAAATAACCCGAATAGGTAAAAGGACCTGGAAACTTCATGTAAAAAGTTCAAATCAACATTATTTAGCTCAAAGCTTCTTTAACAAAGTCAATAAAATAAATGGATTACGTCACATGTTCTTAATTTCGGCAGGAGAAAATTTATCCTTTTTGATCAAACAGAAAATGTAGCTCCAAAAACTTCAAAAACAATAAAGCTAAGTAACCTAACGATAAGCTGATAATCCTTGTAACCCAATTTCATGCTATAAAATCCCGTCACCTATCCGTTCTGGATATGAAAAGAGAAAATTGTTGTCGTGCAGGGGGTTCCTGGACTAGATCCGGGATGCGTAAACGGTGAGCTGGGGCTGGGGGACTGGCCGGGGGCGCCGGCGGAGAATGAGCAATGTGAGTGGAGAATGGCCTTGAAGATCCATTCCTTCATCCGCCCTCCTTGAAAGATTTGTCCAGTGCCCCCCTCAAGATGCATACCATTTTGAGCGGGTAGCCACCGGGGAAAATGGATTCAAATTCAAATTTTCGGGTGGTCAGGGTAGGGTTAAGCCGGTATAAGCCTGATCATCTGGGCTAGGTGGCAAGAGAGCGAGAGAGAGCGCCAGAGTACGCACGAGAGGGAGAGAAAGAGAGAGAGAGAGATCGCTAGAGAGGGGGAGAACGATAATAAGATAATTGTAGAATGAGAGCCTGAGGAGACGAGAGAAAGAGAGAGAGAGAGAGAGAGAGAGAGAGAGAGAGAGGGAGAGAGAGGAAGGGAGAGAGCGAGTAAGCGAGTGAGTAAGAGAAAGAGAGGTAGAGAGCGAGATAGAGAGAGAGAGAGAGAGAGAGAGAGCGAGAGAGAGAAAGCGAAAGAGCGTGAGAAGGAAATCTTAAATCAAGTTCTTGAAACGCTAATTAACGATTGAGCTGATACACACTTTAAATACAACCGTTTCATTTCAAGCACTTCCACGCAATACTAATAACCGCGTGAAATAAATCAAATCCAGCTATCCGATCGACCAGAAAACAAAAGGCGAAGCGCCCGCCCGACCGGCCAGTCATAAACTTTCACCACTTGCCGAGGTCGAGCCCTGGCCCCCGCCCTCCCCAACAGTTGTTTAGAGAAAATGGGGGCCTCGCCGTAGAACAGGGCGCAGAGAAAAAGCCATAAGCCCTTCCGCCCCTCCCTACCCGCCTTACTATTCCCCCGCCCCTCACCTCAAAATGCCAGGGATTTTCGGCTGCCCGGTCGTTTTCACTGCTGATCAGATTGTGAGGGCCGGTTGGGGTCAAGTGCAAATAGAAAATGGCTGCTGGAGCAGTTTTTGCGAAATTTGGCCCCTTGCGTAGGTACCTGCACAAAAAATAGAGGGAAATTCCTCTCGAAACTCGAGAGGAATTTAAAAACAAAACTGGCGGAGAAGAAGTAAGTAAGGGGTAAAATAAAATCTTTGGACCTTTCCTAAAAATTAGTTATGCTTAATTTTTTGTTAAGCTCATCTACATTTGGAAATTCTATCGCCCGCAAAAAAACTGAGGTAACCGTCGGCCAGGAAAACACAACAATTTAACACCGATAAACCCCAAAAACAATTTAGAAAAATTAATTTAGGAAAATGAACGTTTTTATCGGTTTCAGGCAAACGGCTAGGCGAATGTTCAAGCTTTAATTTTAATTTCATTTTGACGATTAATTTCGACTTTCGATTCCCTAGAAAAACCCAAGCCGCCGAAGTCGAAAACGAAGCTAAAAGAAAGTGACATTTTGACCCATGTTATGCCCGGATTTGTTTGTTTTTAGGGTGTCGATGTGTCCATTCGATCCTCGAGGACACTATTGACCATTAGAATACATAATCTGGGGGCCATAAACGCCGACCAGGTGGTTCATCCGATCTGGATAAACATATATAATAACATATAACCTAATAACATCGTGTTCAGGTGTCAAAAGGACGTTCGAGAGAAATATTCAAATTCTCTGCAAGAATACTTGAAGTCTCGTTTTGGCGGAAAAAATCAATGCAAGTCTAGCCATTGGCAAAATAGCAAGGGTGTTTTGGGAATATTCTGAATCTGGACGATGATCGGAATGCTAACGTCAAAGGCTTCCGAGCCACTAGGTTTGATTCATATCCATTTTCGTTTTACATGTCTAAATGTACATTACATGTTTTACAAAAATAAACACTTTAGTCAGGAATAGAGTGCGGCTTATTCAAATCAAATCGCGACTCAAACCGGTTTGATTTGAATAAGGGCGGTTTGAATAAGAATCTGCTTTTCAAATCAAACCGGTTTGGTTTGAATAAGGATCCGTTATTCAAACCAAACCGACCAGGTTTGAGTTGGTTTGAATTGGTTTGAACAACAGGCAAATCAGCATGTTAATCGATTGGATGGATGCTAATCGGCTAAGTTTTCGAGGCATCCCTTCTAAAACCTTGTGTGATCAATATAATGATGAAATTGGCATCATTTACGGGGTTTACGCACTTTTTCAACGATAGGCTTCGCATTCACAACCTTTCACAAGCATCCAAATGGTCGGGATAACCTTGGCAGCGCTGAAAGAAAAAGGTCTCGAAATGATCCGCTAACCCCAAAAACCTGCCAGGAATGCTGCTGAACCACCCTAAAGTGAAGTCACAAAAGGATTGGTGCCAAAACGCAAAAATGGTGCCGAAAACAGACTGTTTCGGAGACTGGTTCTTATTCAAACCTTGTTCAAATTATTCAAACCGGTTTGGTTTGGTTTGAGTTGGGAATCCTTATTCAAACCGGGTTTGGTTTGAATAAGGACCCCGTATTCAAATCAAACCGGTTTGATTTGAATAACGGAAATCTTATTCAAACCCGGTTTGAATAAGCCGCACTCTAGTCAGGAATCGGCTTCCTGCGCTTGCTGATTACATTTCGTAACTCCATCTAGGACACCAGTATCCCAATTTTCCTGGTGATTTTGGGGCCAATTTCAAAAATTAAAAAATCGCAACCCAAAGAAGAATCAACGGCCGGACGTTTGGAGCGATTTCATAACCCATAAAACGCGTCAAATTTTCAAAAACTATCGCTTATTTTGTGAGTCAGATCAGACTTTTCCTCCTCGCATCAGTGTTCATGTCCTTTACACTCCTAAAAACGTCTGGCCCGACCCTATCAAAACGGGATTCCGCTCTCGGCAACTATCAGCACCCCCTAGAAAAAGAACTCCGCATCCTCTTGCCCCGCCTCAGGGGATGCTGATCCCGAGACTGGTTCTCGAGCTCGAGCTCCCCCCGCCGAGCTCCCGCAGCGAAACCTGAAAATGAAGCCTTTTCCGGACCTTATTTCTTTTCATCCGCCCTCCGACCCCGCCAATCAGCCGCACCCGGGGTGGCCACCCGTGATTGCGCATCGTTTGCCTTGAATTCCCTACGAAAACGTTATTCCTAGACTGTCGCTATGAACGTTATTTTGGGATTGTTGTTGGCTGTATTTCCGCTTTTGGCGCATTCCAGAACTTCCCTTCATAAAGCTAAAAAGTACAAATGTATCGAGGTGGAGGATAAGGATGAGGTAAGTGATGATCGTTATTTTTTAATCGTATTTAAAGGAATCCCCATTTTTCTTTACGCGATGGAAAGCACTACAAAAAAATGCCGAATCAACCTCTTTCCGACAAATTAAAACTAAGTTGCGATAGCTACGTGCAGGGGCGTAGCCAGGAAAAAATTTCGGGGGGGGGGGCCCCCAAAAATTTTTCCAAAAAACTCAAAACATTGCCGGAAAAACAGCGCCGCAGGCGAAAAATTTGGGAAAAAAGGCTACATAGCTCTACAAATAGCAGTAAAAACGCGTAAAAATAGCGCCGCAGGCAGCAAAATTTTTGAGAAAATAAAAATCATAAGGGTCCCCCCTTATGAAATTTTCAGGCCCCGGCCGATTTCGGGGGGCCCGGGCCCCCGGGGCCGGTATTACGCTACGTCCCTGGCTACGTGGTACACTAAAACTCAAACATTTCATCAGATTTAAGCCATGCCGTTGCGCTTTTTCGCGTTGCTCCAATGGAGTACTAAATACATGCGTATATGCAACGTCATTTGGAGTTTCGCGTAGTTGGCTAGACTTAGTGAATGTTAGGTTTTGATTTCTCGACTTCTTAGTTCCTTTAAAATTAGCTGATCTTCAAGCTTTGAACTTCCGCTTGGCAGCCGAAACATAAATCGTTTTTTAGCGCCCAACAATCATTTTTTGAATTGTTGAGGCGTTTCCAACATTGCTCTTTCTAGCCCACCCACTACGGCTGGAACCGAGCCGACGAGGAGCTGAAAAGCATCGGAAAAATGAGCGCCGGACCGCCAGTGCAGGCGCTGACCCCTAAGCCGTATGAAGCAGTAAGTATCCTGTGTCTTCTTCGGTAGAATTATGCAAATTAGCCGGCAACCCGTCCACCGCATCTTCCCACAAATATCCCGAGAGATCACGCGGGAAGGCCACTGGTTTTGTCGCCGCAACATTGTGATCAGGTTTGTGAAAAACTTTCTTTCTGCAAATGTTCTGATTACCTTGAATCAGATTTTTTTGATTTACATGTCGTAATGCTTTTAAGTCCTTTTTGTCACTTGCTATCGTGACTCAGATAAATTAAAGGGCCCGCTTTGAAAAAAGCTTCATAGTTTCTACCTATCAATAAGCCCATTCAGACCTACCGGTCGTCCCAAAAATCGACTCGTCCTCATGTCCCATTGTGAAGATTTAAGTGTCTATCGACAGCTCTCGAAAAGGAGGGGAAAACAAGCATTTTTCGTTTTTTAATATAGTCATTTTAACTCGCTAATTTTAGGAACGAAACCCATGAAAACTGCATGCTAAGGCTAACAGGACAACGCTGATTTTACGGTTTCTAAGAAATCGTTGAATATCAAGCGCAGACTAAAAATTTTGTTAAACGAAAAGCGCTTGTTTTCTCGCCTTTCCAGGAGCTTTCGAATGGTGCAAAAATCATGCCGATACGACCTTTCCCCGGACCGCTAGAGAGTGGTCCGATTTTTTTTTGGAGGCGCCCAGTAGTTCATATGCAAATTGGACCCCTTTTCAGGTCCGAAAGTACGCTGCTCAATATGGCGTCCGAGACGTCCTACCCTGGGTCAAATCAAATTGCAATTTCGCAAAAATGTTCGTCCCCGATGCGACGTGCGAGGAGATCAACATCCTCGTCGGCAGCTGCTATGCTAATAAATATTTATAGCGGGTAAAATCCAGTTAATAATTCCAATAATCGCTGTAATAAAGCTTCTACCGCATTTTTGAGCATTGAAAAGTTTCACGATGAATGGTTAACACTACGTTCACTATAACGCTGCGCCCAATCCACACCAAATTACGGTCAGGCCAACGACAATAAGAATATTGCCGTAGATGCGATTTCCGGAGTTTTTGGGGTCATGTGCTTGATTTTTCTGAATCGTAGCTTGTTGATGTTGCTGGCCCGGGTCGGCGAGGCTGGTTTCGATCTAAAACCTTCGAAATAAGGAAGAGAGAGTGAAAAAGAGAGAGAGAGAGAGAGAGAGAGAGAGAGAGAGCGAAGGAAGATAAATTTTCCACCTCTTTAAAGGCCTTCAAAAGCCCAGTGATCATGTCAGTGCCTTTTATGTCGTGTTCATTATTTTTGTAGGCCGCTTCGACGATGTTTTTGTCTAAAAAATGTGTTATATATTTCATGATTTTTCGGGGCGAAAACTCACCCATATTCGAGTCATTCGACAGATACAATTTATGAGCATCAGCGTCAAAGAAAAACACGGCAAACTTGTGGCATTTTGCACGCTTCTTCCAGCGTCCATGTAATTCGTCGGCAAAACTTTGGTTACGCTGTAAAGCAACGGTTTTATTAAAGCTTTAAAGGCAGCAAAACGGATAAATTAGAGAACTCACCCCTTTCTCCGCGGAAATTGCCAGCATGGCATCGATTCCTTTCTCATCACAAGAATCTTGATCGTCTGGTTTGAATGATAGGCGTTTCAGGGCGTTGTTTAGACGATAGCAATCTGATGTTGGAAATTCCTAAAAAAATATATATGATAGATACATTGAAAAATATTTCGACGATATTTGCGATTGCGATTCAAAAGCTCCAAGTGACATGACAAGAAATCTGTTGGGGCTGGCATGGATAGCTGCACTGAGAGAGGCATTCCGCGTGCCGCGGTAGCTCAATAAGGGGGAGCAAGGACTCGAAAGCCGTAGGATGCGGGTTCGACCCCCGCCCGGAGCCCTTGTTTTGCGGATTGGACCCGGAGCTAGTCCATGGCCATGGGACCCCAGAATTCCCAACTAATCCACCGGTTTTGAAAGGTGTGTTTTCAAGGAAGTCGGAAATTCGGCAACGACGCACCCCGGTTGGATCGCAGACGCTACTGACAGAATTCATTCGGCATTCTGGATAGTCGGAACTCCTGGGATCCGGATAATCTTTTGGTTCGGCCCATTGGATCGTCCAGGAGCTTCCGGTGGCCAGCGTGCAGGTGAATATAGCGGCAAGAAAAATCGAAGTCTTCATCCTGAAAGTATGACGTTTGATCTATGGGAGTGGGAGAAAGAGAGAGGGAGAAAGGTAGAGACAGGGAGGGAGAGAGAGAACTGGGTGAGAGAGTCAAAATAATCAACCAGTTATAGAGATCTTTCTCGCATTTTCCCATAAGCCAAGACCTTGCGTACATTTAAAACCAAATGACATAAAGTCCATCTATACCCCCACAATGCCGGGAATGATCAACAGGACCCGTGAAAGGAGAAGGGATAAATTCCCGGAAAACGGCTACTCACAACACGACCGGTCGGCCAGAGAAACAGTTCCTTTCCGGGTAAACGTCCTCCTTCTCGGGATCGAAAAATTTCGGTCTTGCCAACCGAGCGGGGAGCGGAAACTGACGCTGAAATCGAGCTTTAGACGCCGATTATTGACGATTATCGACGATTATTGATTCGAAGAAGCCGACGCTGGGTGAGCAGCTTCGAAAATTATGGATTTTATGTCAACTCTATTTATCGCTTCCTCTCACTATCTCCATCTCCCTCTCTCTCTCGTCATCGAATTTGAATTCAGATTGAAGTCGAGCTGGCCGCCGAGTGATGGGCCGAAGTTGAGAAGGAACTGGAAGGTTGGAAGGATTATGCTGAGGTAACTCGCACATTTTGGTTCATTTTCTTCTTTCAGGGCGACATCGCCTTACTGAAGTACCCGCCCACCCTGAAACGTTACGTCGGTGCTCCCATTTCGCATCAACTTTTGCCTCTGAAAAGGCCCTCTGAAACTGTAGAAGTTGATGAATTATTATTGCTGTTTCCAGGGCTGAATCTATCCACAACTATTCACGAATCGAGCGAATTCAGCATTGTTTCCAGTGCGGCACCGACCAGATGACCTGTCGCCCCGAAGCAGTGAAACGCCTCATCTCTCCAAAAATTGGACATCACCAAAAAACGGTTTTTAAATAACAAATTCACCAAATCACTTCCCCGGTTTTTTGCATGACTCATCGTTTTTGCGTGTCTCTCCTTTTCCCGGAATAAACGGGCGTGTGATATCTGAGCATGACTCGGAAAGTTGGTCAGAAATCACTTGCCAGAACGCTTGAGATCGTAAAATTTATTGCAGGAAATAAACGGCAAAAATCGAGAAGATAACCACCAAAATCGTCTGGGCCGAGCCAGCGGTATTACAATAACTGCCCCGGCAACAGTACGCCGTCCCACGGACGATTTGGCCGTACCCGTCGTTGTACATAACGGTAGCCGAGCCGGTGTGCTAAAAATGGGCTGAAAGTCAGGCCGTATTTTGAAGCTCACCTTGCAAATCCCCTCGTTTGGACAGCCCCAAACGACGCCGCCCAAAGAAATGGATCAATTTGCGTTTTAATGACTACTAGAAAAATTAATTTTTTTGACGCGGTTCTTACCAGAAATCTTTGAAATACTTACAGGGTACTCAAATTTTAAGCAGTAGTTAGTGTTCCACGTGCAGTCGACTTTGTGTTGCTGAAAAAATATAGACATTTGATTGTTTAGGACGAAAGTGAGCAGCGAGAGCAGGAGAGATATAGAGAAAGAGAGAGAGAGAGAGAGAGAGAGAGAGAGAGAGAGAGAGCAAGAGAGAGAGAGAGAGAATGAGAGAGAGAGCAAGAGAAAGTGGGAGAGAAAGAGAGCAAGAGAAAGCGAGAGCAAGAGATAGCGAGAGGGAGAGAGTGAGTGCAAGAGAACGCGAGAGGGAGGGGGAGAGAGAGAGAGAGAGAGAGAGAGAGAGAGAAAGCGAGAGAGAGAGAGAGAGAGAGAGAGAGAGAGAGAGAGGAGCGAGAGTAATGTGCAAAAACACGACCGTGTTAGAAGCTTAACTCACCCCTCCAGTATGCGAATATCCATTTCCTACAAGTACATCATACCAACACGAAATAGCCGATCCGCAATACAAAAGAGCTGAGAAGATGACGAGTTGCTTCAGCATGTCTATACCTCGGAAAATGGCAAGACTGGAGCTTGAGGTTGGTCTGATAACGACTGAACGGGAATGGAGGCCCACGGCTTTTTGTATGCCTCAAAATGGTCATGCCGGCTGTTTGTGGCGGGCCGAAGAGACGGGCCGAAGGCTTATCGGGGGAGTTCTTAAATGTTTGTGAGTTTTTCGGCCAGAGGTTGGGTGTTTCGAAAGTTGTTTAGTTGCCCTTGGGGGTTTTTTAGGAGTGAAAATATTCATGATTGAATGGAAAGGGTCGTCCCTTAATTCCCGATACCCTAAAGAAGCTTTAGTATTTTTCCGTTCAAAGACCGGATGCGTTTTTTTTTCCAAAAATACCCTTAATTCCTAGCCTTACATGGGGCGACGAAAAAAAATTCCGGACTACTTTTCCGCATCCTTGACACGCAACGCAAAGCTCGAGCGACGCGTTGCGTACCGCTGCAGCACGACGGGCTTGAAAAGACTGGTTTTATATATACCTGTATGTGTCTGTTATGCATGATAAAGCTGCCTTAAAAAGCCAAAAAAAGGCAAAGATGCTGGGGCAAAAAGCTCGGAACCACGTTTACATATCTCCAGCATGAGTATACTTCCGCGAATTTCCATAAGATCTTGTCGTATTGTCAGTGAATCTTTATTCGCACAAAAAAATCCAGATGGAAAACGTTATTGTTGGTCAGATTTTGAGGTGCTGATGGTGGGCCTGTGGGGGAATGTGGGTGTGCAGACTTGGGCCATTAAAAAAAAGGGGGAGGGGTTCGGGCCATTAGCATAAAAGAGGGATCGAGGGATGGGGGGAAAAATCCGATACAACACAAGGCAAAAACCCAAAGGGGGTGGCGGTGAGTATCGAAAGTTTTTTGGGCGTTGATAGGCGCACTTCGTAGTTGCTGCCAGGGTCGTCAGTTCGCCTGGGCCGTCACCTTCATGAAGGTGTCCTCGAGGCCGCACTGGGTCACACTGTAGTCGGCGATGGCTGGAAAATGGAGGATATATTATGGCGCGCAAGCGAAAGAGAACTAGAGCGAGAGAGAAGAGAGAGAGAGAGAGAGAGAGAGAGAGAGAGAGAGAGAGAGAAAGCGAGAGAGCGAGAGAGAGAGGGAGGGAGAGAGAGAAAGCGAGAGAGCGAGAGAGAGAAAGAGAGAGAAAGAGAGCGAGAGAGAGGGAGGGAGGGAGGGAGGGAGGGAGGGAGGGAAAGAGAGAGACTCACTGAGCTTCGGGTCCGCGCCCAGCTTGTTCATCGATGCCCAGGCAGATGACCACGGCAGCTCGCCAGAAGGTACCTGGCAGATCGCGCATTAATGGTAGTTCAAAAAATTCCGACATTAGCTTTAGTATTTTCCCGTCCAAAAACCCTAAAAAGTGTGTGTCTTTTTCCAAAAATAAGCTTTATAACACCCACCACATAGATGCAGACCCGAGAATGGCCCGCCTCCTTGATCTTGGCCTCGGGGAACGCGCCGATGATGGCGTCGGTGACGGCACCGACACGCTCCTTCAGCTTGGCCTGTCGCTGCTCCGGGTCCTGCTCCTCGGAATCGTCCGGTTTCAGCTCGACGGTCATCGTGTAGCCGCCGCTGTATCTAAAACAAAAAGCTTGCCTCCCCGATAATAGTCTAGTGCCGAAACATAACCAACACGAAACCCAACACCCACTTCGACTTCAAATGTTGACTTGAACCGATGGCAAACATTCGGCCCTTGATCATGATCGATATCTTGGTGCACAACGCCTCGCACTCGTCCATCGAATGCGAGGTGAGCAGCTGAGCTGTACGGCCTGGGGGCTGGCGCGACAGATCGAGGTGCTGCCAGATGTCACGACGGGCCTTCGGGTCGACACCGGCCGTCGGTTCGTCAAGGATTCGGATGGCGTCCTGGGCAAGGAGGGCGACGCCGACGCTGATCTTGCGCTTTTGGCCGCCGCTGCAGAACTTGATGGCCTTGTCGCCGTCGTGGGACATGCCGACGGCAGCGAGGACCTGAAGGAGGTGAGGCTTCGAGAGAGAGAGAGAGATAGAGAGAGAGAGCGAGAGAGAGAGAGAGACAGAGACAAAGAGAAATATCAAAACTCTACCTGCTTGGCCACCTTCGCCGGGCTGGCGTAGCCGTGGCACGTCGCCATGATGTTCAGGATCTGGCGGCCGGTGAAGTCCATCAGCACCGCGTCGAATTGCGGACAGTAACCGACCGCCTAAAAAGCAATTATAGTCGATTGAACCACCCCACGGAGCTCCCGGCGCCAGATTTTCCGTAGACGCGAATCCGGCCGCCCGACGACGTCTTCAACCCGGTCAGGATGTCGATGGTGGTCGTCTTGCCGGCACCGTTGGTTCCTGAAAAAAGTTAGTCGAAAAATTTTTCGTCCCAAACCGAGAAGCCCGAAGCATTGGCCCGGCTCGACGGAAAATGTGATGCGGTCGACAGCCGGGTGACGGTTGCAGCCGAACCACTTGACGAGGTTGGTCACCTACAAAAATGAGGATTAACGAGAGATATCGTTCTCTCGCATTCTCTCTTCGCTATCTCTCTCTCTCTCTCTCTCTCTCTCTCTCTCTCTCTCTCGCTCCCCACCAGCAACGGCCACTTCTGATGCGCATTCTTCTCGACGTATTTCCGCTCCTGGGCCACATCCTCATCAGCATCCTTGTAGCCGCCCCGCTTCCGGTGGATGCAAGCAGCTCCCGTGAAGCCCAGCACAATGGCCCTCATCCGGCGCGACGAAAGACACACGAACAGCACCACCATACAGAGTCCAAACGCCGACATCGTGCCGGTCGGCACTTTCCACAGGCTATAAGCAGGTATTCGAAAAAAAGCAAAAGCCTACAGCGACGTGTCGATACCCTTTCGCATCAGTGGCTCAAGTTCAAACTCCACGGCCATCACGTAGACGCACGCAATGCACAGGCCAAACGGGGGAAACAGGAGCATCAACACGAACTGAAACATCGGGCCGTTGGCGCAGTTTTAAATTTGTGCGTGAGTTTAAAATGCGTTTTTATACCGTTTTTTTAAAATTTAAAGCATTTCTAGGCATAAAAAACTTATAGTTTTCGATTCTGCACGAAGACGTTGATTTTTTTGACCCAAAATGACCAAAATATCGGCCTTGTCAAGTATTTACAATTTTTTGAAAGTTCCTTTACTAGTAATATGGTTAAAATTTACTAAGCGTATAAAAACAGTTTATATTTGATTACTAGGTGAACCGAGGCCAAGACCCAAACGAAAAAGTCGGTCACCACGCGGATTCTCGCCTATCGCCCCCCCCCCCGATAATGAAACAAAACCCGATTTTTATTCCCAGTAACTTCCCTTTGGTTGTATTGCTGAGCTTTCATCTTGTTAAATCAAGGTTATTCTGGCCCACCAGCCCCGTCAGCATTCCCTTGTCTAGGGGTGCGCCGGTGAATACGGAGACGAGCAGCAACACAAGGGCGACGATGGTCCCCACGATCGGGGAGATGACCTAAAAGGAGCGAAGCCATAATGGGGCAGCAAAATTTGGATTTGGAAATTGCGAAATTTCGGGCTCACTGGGCGTAATCAATTTCTTTTCCTAGTAATCTAGGCAACTCGAAAATGACATATGATCTATTTATAGACCAGTGGAAAAAGACCGCTTCGCGGCCCTTTCCCACTGGACCCCGTCTAGGAACATGAATTCCCTTCCATTATTGAAGCCTGCGGCGCAAGAGCCTGACTCAAGGAACCATTTATTTGCCTGCGGCGCTGCTACTGATTTTTCGCTCGGATTCAGCCTGCGGCGCGAAAGCGAAGTCAAGGACCTTTTCTTTGGCCTGCGGCGCCAGAGCCAGCGTGCGTAGAATCTCTGAGCCTGCGGCGCTAGTTACTGGTTTTTCTCCAGGATTTGGCCTGCGGCGCGAGAGCCTGGGTCAAGGACCCATCGTTGGCCTGCGGCGCCAGAGCCTGGGCCAAGTACGTTTTCTTTGGCCTGCGGCGCTAGAGCGAGGGCCAGGCCTAAACCTCGCACACCGAGGGCCTAGCAAAATGTTTTGTCGTTGAACTCAAAAGGCAAAAAGTCAAATTCGGCGCGGATTCGAACCCCGGACCACGCGCTTGTTAGACCGGGCGCCAATCCACTACACCACGGGGCGATGGGGATGAGCGGCGGGAAAGCCCTCTTTTGTCCTGGGGGCGGGGCATCCCGTGAGGGGGGACTTCGACTTCTGGTAACTTTACAAAATTCTCTTTTTGAATCTAAATGCGCCGAAAATTTGTAAAAATAATAAGATACGCGTGATCCCCACTATCGAATACATAAGTGGACAAAATTACAGCCCAAAATTCCATCTGGGATTCGGGTTATGGCCCGGACACCACGGGACTGCGGCCATTTTATTAAGGACCTTATAGTAAATTGCTCATAAAAACTTTATTTTAAGGAATTTGGCAAAATCCAGAAAATAGTATCGGGAGAATTGTTTCTTCCATTTACCCTCCAAAAATCAGCGCCCAACTCCTCTTAGCGGCCGAGAAAACCTCCGGACATACCTTTTTTTCAGCGAAACGTTAAGGCTTTTTCACTATTTTGGTTATAAAATCGTCAAATGAAGGAATTTCGCAAAACAAAAAAATGCATCACTGACAAATGTGTTTCTCCACCTCCATGCCAAAAATCAGCTCGATTGGCCTGACGGCCGAGAAATCGGCTGTAAGAAACGACATATTTTTCGCTTATAGGATAGGATTTTTAGAGTTTTTCAGTTCTAAAAGGTAGCAAAAATTACAAATATCCTCAAAAAATTTTGTTTTTTGAAAAATGTTATAAAAAATCACCAAAAAGCTTCGAATCTGTGACTTTCCGAAAACTTTGAAAAGTAGTGAGGTATTTCCTAGCCATCAAAACCGACTAAAAACACCATAAAAATGCACTTTTTACCAGTAAATAAGCGTGGACACAAAAAATAAAAATTAGCAGCTCCCGTCAGCCCACCCCGCTAACAGCTCAGTACCAGACTTCTCGGCCCCTTTAAAGGAATTAGAAAGGCTCATCTATAATTGGCCGCAAGCCAACCGGAAATGCTAATGCAAAAAAATGGGCAGAGAGTGAAGCGAGGCAGGAGGGGAGCAAAGAAGATTTATGCTAATTTTTCTGGGTCTTATGCTATTCGATCGCGGAGCGCAACCGACCTGCCAAACAATCAGCAACGTGTTGGCCTTGGCCGCCGAGGCGAACATGTACGAGAGGCAGTAGATGAAGGGCAGGCACGCCCAGAGGTAGAGGGCCAGGAAGCGGCCGAGCCTGAAATGAGAATTAATCACAAGTGTTTGGTGCTACAAATTGAGGGAATGCGGCGACAGCACGTGGCCATGGTGCAGGATGAAGAAGCCGGCGGTGAACACGACCATACACAGCAGCAGGTCGTAGACGAGCGACGCGCCCCAGAAGGTGATCGGGTGCAGCTTGGTGAGGAGTTGCTGGTGCTGGAAATTGGAGGTGCGCTCCTCGACGAGCAGCACGATGCAGCCGGAGGTGAGGATCGACAGCGCGAGCAGGAGCAGCGGAATCAGCGCCAGCTTGCGAGCCTGAAAACGTTCTTGAGAATCCTCAAAAAAACCAGACCTGTTTCACGCCCTTATCCTGCTCAATCTGGGACGCCGTCTGCGGCACGTACAGCTCGTACCGCGTCGTGATCTGCGAGGCGTTGTTGTTGCTGGAAAGCGCTTGTCGAGAGCGTCCCATCACCCGACTCACGTAATCTGCTGCAGCCGCACGTTGTCCGCCACGTTCACCATCAGCGGGGCCGTGTGGTAGCCGTTCGGGTTGTACCAGCCGAGCAGCTCCTTGCCGTTCAGCCAGAAGCCGATGGCCAGCCGGGGCGAGTCGTGGGCCGCCTGAGCAGGGGGGCAATTCAGCGGACTGTCGCCACTCCACCAACCTTATAAACTTCCTTGTTAAAGTTGGCGCCTCCGGGCAGCTCAAGCAGTTCGCAGCCGGTGCTCAACAACTTGCGGAAGCGCTCGGTCTCGAAACGAGAGGCATCGTTGCCCTGAAAATCCCATGAATTCATGCGTACAATACAAGGTAGGAAAACCTCTAACACGCAACGCGCCGGATGGACCATTGACGGGCCGACCAGCGAGGAGTTCACGTCCTAAACGCCGCCCTCAATACTGCAACTCTTGATAGGCATACCTTGTCGGTGGCGTTCACGATCATGCTCACGCAGTAGAAGAGCCCGATCGGGATCAGGATCTACGAGCCAAGTTGCGTAACATCTTCCACACTAACCTGCACGCAAAACTGCGGAATGTTCTTCAGGTTGTAGAGCAGGCGCTTCTTCAGCATCGCTAAGAACTGGGCGAACACCATGCAGAAACCGTGACGACGACGCGCTTTGGCCTAAAGCCAAGGCATCGGCGGTACTGTACTGTTAACGGGGGGACCAATTTTTCCCCAGAACAGCTTAATAGCGAAATACATATAAATCATTTTGACAGCGTTTTACGTTTTTAGGTGCAAAAAACTATAACATGAAAATGCTGAAGGTTTGGTTCAAAATTTTACGAAAAATCGAAAAAGCAAAAAAATTTGAAACTTTCAAAAATGTTTTAGAGAACTTTCAGAATTTCCTGGGAAACAAAAGCTACCCAAAAACGCTATAAAATTCCGCTGAATTTGAATTATTAAAAATTAATCCCCCCCCCGCGAGCAGCCCAGTACCATACCAGCAGCCCACGAAAACTGACCCATTCCGAGTGGCCGACCTTCTGCTCCTCGTGTTTGCCCTCGCCGAGCTCGCCGACCCTCAAGAACACCTGCTCGAGCGTGTTCAGCGACAGGCCAAAGTCGACGAGCACCACGTTGCCGCTCACGTTCTTCCCGTCCTCCTTGAGCTTCTCGAGGCTGGAAATTTGGGGGATTGACGACCAATGGTATCGCGTACGCCTTGCACATCTTGGGGAAGTTGCCCTTGTTGCTGAGCGGGATCGTCATCTCGATTTGGCGGCCATGCGGCGGGCCAAGCGGGAAGCCACCGGCGTCTCCGCCAAGTGCGCCGGCAACGGCCTTCTGGACGGCTTCACCGAGGCCTTGAACCTGAAATTTGAGAGCTTTTCAGAGCCGTGAACATCTCCTACCGCTTCCGGTGTGACGGGTGTGACCATATCTTGTTGTCCATCAGCCGTCAACGAGGCTCCAACCACCGTCAGGATGTAGCCGCTGCCGTACTTCCGCTTCAGGTACCCGGGCGAGCCGTTGATGACGTCACGGCCACCCTGCATGATCGTCACCCAATCGCCGAGCTTCTCGGCCTCGTCCATGTAGTGGGTGGTGAGGAGGACAGTTCTGGAATGATCGGGCTCTTTTACGAAAAGGACTAAAGACACCTGTCCTTCTTGATGCGCTGCAGCACGAATTCGACGGCCCTTCTGGCGCCAGGGTCCATGCCGGCTGTCGGTTCATCGAGGAGCACCACCCTCGATCGTCCAATGATTGCCATTGCGACGAGGAGTTTCCGTTTTGTGCCCCCGGACAAGTTCATTGACAGCTGAAAAAAGCTAGCTTGACAGAACGTACATCGATTTACGTTTTTTACTAAATCGTCGACAACCGTGCCGAAGTCTGAAAAATAGTTCAAAACCCAGAGAATCAGGCTGCTTTCGGTCCAAAAACTTTAGGCGAATTTTTGATTAAAATTTGCAGAAATTTAGCTCCAGCGTCCGCGTCGCACCCGGCCAAAATTAAGCACGCTCACCGACCTCGTGTCTCTTATCGTAAAACTTCAAGTCCCGCATGAGCGCGTCACCGGCCGTCTTGTGGTTGTCCTTGCCGCGCTTGAGGTGATGGAAGAACCAAAGGTGCTCGGCGACGGTCAACTTCGGGAAGAGCGGGTTCTTCTGGGGACACAGGCCGACCGGTTTCGAGTTGACCTTCACCTTCCCTAAAGGGCATCTTTGCCAATCTTTCCGATTTTTTTGTAGGTTTAATGAAAATAATTATGTTTGAAGATTTGGGCGCGGCGGCCGCATAGACGTACGGTCCTCTACACTTCAGCGCCGACGCTAGTTTTTCAACCCACCCGACGTTGCACTCGCCAGGCCGCACAGAATCGAGAACGTCGTGCTCTTGCCGGCGCCGTTGTGCCCGAGCAGGACGGTAATCTGCAGGTTTTTACGGCGTAATTGGCCAAGCCTGTCTACCTGGCCCTGGATCGCCTTCAGGTTGACCCCCTTCAACACCCAGCCGCCGGTGAGGCTGAACTTCTGAAAAAGCGCGGGATGTTTAGAGCTGTTGATCGCTCCGAATTTCGCCAAGCCTAAGCCAAAGCCCAAGCCTGAGCATGAGCCGAAGCTTAAGTCTCAGCCTAAACCTATACTAAGCCTACCTTGGTCACATTCTTCACTTCCAAATCGGCGTGTGCGGCCTCGCGCTTCTCGTCCTCCTCGTCCACCAGCTGGTTGTTATTATCGTCGTCGCCCTTGTTTTTCTTCTTCTTTTTCGACGATGGGCGCATTGGCTAAAAGCCCCGCTCGACGAATTACCGTGCGTAATTCGCTTCCATACCGACATTCGGGACAAGAGATCGCGGAAGAAGTTCGTTTGCTCGGAGCGTAGACGATCCATCATTAGTGCGCCGAAGAACATCCATAGGGCGTCGAACTGATGAGAATGGTTAGATTGGGGAGCTGGTTCGTTAGCGGGCGGTGGGGCGGGCGAGAGCAAGCCTCTCTTTTCCGTCTAACCGCCAAAAGCACTTCACAGTTTCAGTTTTTTCAGTTCTTTACTTTTTTGATAAATTTTTAACCCAAAAAAAGTCAGCTTGAAAATTTTGATTAATTTTTAAGCCTTTTTATATCAACAAAAACAACAGAAAGTATAGGCGTCCTACCAATAGCATGCCGCAGATGCAGGCAAAGTTGAACTCCTTGCGCCAGTCGGCTATCATGTCGGACCACTCGATAGGTTTGTCTGGAATTTTTCAAAAGGTAGACTAGTCGGGTTTGAGTGCAGTTTACCCCCCAGCCGGCACCCAACTTTTGTATCTCGGCTCCCTGTTCATCTACAGGTGTGTAAAGTATACCAAAATGTACGTCTTGCACTGGTGCGTATTTTGGTATACTTTACCCATCTGTAGATGAACAGGGAGCCGAGATACGGTAGCTGGGGGTCGGCTGGGGGGGGAGGGTCAACTGTAGGCCATTAGTCGGAAAGGACCAGTAGATGTGCGAATGGACCCTTTCCATCGGCTAGATCTCGACACTTGTGACAACCAAAAAAATTCCAACTTACTGCGCTCGTCGTAGTTCAACCATAGGTCGAGCGCCAGGGAGAAGGCCTGGTTGGGGTTGAGGGACTGGATGAAGCACCACATCGCATCGTGTCGTTCCACCGGGAGTACGATCGGCTGGATGACGGTCAGCAGCCACAGAATCATGGCCACTAAAAAACACAGCCTAGCTTGAAAACCAAAATCTACATTTGAAAACACTCGACGACGTCTTCAGAATGGACGAGCAGAGGATGGCGAACGCGCTGACGGAGAGCGAGTAGAGGAAGATGACGCCGCCGATGCAGTATATTGGCAGCAGCTGAAATTAGGGAAAAGATAACCGAAATTTTTCTGCCGGGCCAGACAAGCCCCCCCCCCAATAATGCCAAAGAACCCTTCGACCCACATCAAAGTAGCCCATCAGCGGATAGGCAAAGAACGGGAGCAGGATCATCGACTTGAACCACCCGATGAAGCCGTGGCTGAGGTAGAAGAGCAGCGGGGAGAGCCCCATCACCTGCATGTATTCCTGTGGAAAAGTAAAAATAAAATCAACGAAAAGGTACCCTCAGCCCAATCTCGACCTCGAAGGAGATGTCCTTCGCGAGATGGATGATGCCGGGGAAGAGGAGAATGGCGAGCAGACCGGGGATATAGCCGATGAACTGAAACGACCGGAAATTTCCAATGTTTCAAATGTAGCAAGCGTATTAATGGCGCTATACTAAAATGTAGCAATATATTGAACGCAACAGCGAAAAATGCAACAAACGAAAGCAAGTCAAAACTTTTGACAGTTTTCACGATTTCGAAATTTTGATCGTCGAATTTTTGGATTTTTTTAAGGTTAGAGTGCAGTTTCTCCCCCCCAGCCGGCACCCAACTTGTGCATCTCGGCTCCTTGTTTAGCTACATTCCCATTGCTCTGGCGAGTATTTTGGTATACTTTACACATCTGTAGATGAACCGGGAGCCGAGATACAGTAGGTGGGAGTCGGCTGGGGGGGGCTGCACTTAAAGGCACACTAAAATCTCGTTCAAAAAGTTCGGTCGCGGTAGGAAATTTGGGCTCTCTGCCGCAGCCGACCCCTCCCCCTTCTTATCGCCTCTCCCCTTCCCCCTTTCCCGCCCTTGGCCTAGTGGTCCAAGGCGCTGCCCCAAGCTGGCAGTCAGGGTTCGGTTTTGCTCCGCGGCGAGCGCCTACCGTAACCCTCTTTGCTATCCCGCGGACGGTTACCGGTCGGTAACCAAACCAACGAGACTTTAGTGTACCTTTTTAAAATTAGGTGCATTCGCCATCAGGTAGAGGGTGTCATTTTTCATTTTTTTCTCTGATCACAATTCGAGAGACCGATGCAGAGAGAAGAATATTATGGGGGATAGAAAGGGCAGGGTTGAAAAGTCGCGAAGAGGCCTTTCAACTCTGGTATATTTTAAAATAGGATTTTTTTTAGTTTTTTTAGGTTTAGGAATAACAACACGCAGTTTAAAAACACTTCCCCCATTTCGTAAGACATTTTTTGACATGGCGTTTTGATATGGTAAGAGAATTTTCCATTCCCAAAAGCCCACTGAAACGGCCAGCTTCATCGGTGGCGCCTGGGCGTGGAACGAGCGATATATGGGCGGCCCTGGGTCGGCGACGGTTCCATTCACCTTGGCTTTGACGATCTGGAAATAAGGATAAAAATTTTTGTGCAAAACTTACCTCAATAAAAACTTCATCGAGTCGCGCCTGGATCGACAGCACTTGCCTCGCTACGTATGTAGACATCCGGTTCGGGGGCTCGCCACCTAAGCCCTGAAACAGGAGGATTGGCAACCTGTTGGCTTATTCGTACGTTGTAGGCGGCCCAGTGCTGCTCGAATTTCCATTCGCCCGCCTTGCCGGCCGTCCAGACACGGTAGTCCAGCTTCGCCGGGTGCAGTGAAAACGCCAGGATCTCGATACCGCTGCAAAAGGAGCAGGATATGATAGTTGAGGCTCAATCAGGCGCAACTCTAGGCAAGTGCAAATAAGAAACCCAGCAAACCGCTTAGCAAAAATATGGGTCCGATAGAGTCGGCGACGGGGATTCCGAATCTCTTGCCAGAATTTGCAAAACGTTTAATAAAAAAAAAAGTTATGAGCGTTTTAAGTTCTGCAACAGGTCCCTTCGTGTTCGCCTGCTACCCCCCCGATAATGTCAAAGTACCGGCTCCGGCTAGGCTTTGCTTTTTTAAAGTTTTTTTGAGCTTATGATAAGGCTTCTGCACGAGGCCGTATCACGCACTAATGGAGCTTCTCCACGAGGATGGAACCGGGCGGTAAGGTGGGCTCTGGTCTGAAACGAAAGTTATAGTTTGTACACCCGAAACACGGCTTACTTGGTGCCATTCCCCGGCGGGTCCAACGACCCGCGGCGCACTTGGCTTCGCAGAAATGCCTCCATCGCCTGAAGTCGAGCTGTTTTAAGGAAAGGGGGAAGATGCGCGGTAGTCGCATCGCCCTTTGGCGCGCCGCGTAGCTTCATTAAGTCCGATAGAGTTCGTACCGCTCTTGTTTTTTTGAAGCTGATAGTGCCAGTGGGGAGAACGGACATGAATTGTTTCATGAAGGCATCCGCGTCTGATTTTTGAGCGGGGTCTGAGTATCTGGAAAGGTAATTTGGAGGGCGAAAAGTCTCTGTCTCTCCCTGTCTCTCTCACACGCTCTCTCTGCCTCTCTCTCTCTGTCTCTCTGTCCTCTCTCTCGCTCTCTCTGTCTCTTTCTCTCTCTCTCTCTCTCTCTCTCTCTCTCTCTCTCTCTCTCTTTCTCTCTACTATAGTAGACCCAAAACGTACGTATAGACGTAGTTGTGCGGCAACTCGGGCATCACCAGCACCTGATCGCCAACTGTGCCCTTTGCTCGTTCCTAGAAATCAATGGTCTGCTTGGGTATAGACTGCGCTTCCATTAAGTAGAAGCCTAAACCGAGGTCCGATAGCCGCAACCAAATTACCATCGTCGAGATCTTCTGGCCCATTTTGAGGAGAATCGGGATGCCGATCAGCAGCGGGACGACAATCTCCATCAGCGTCCATACCTGAAACGGAATCTTTTCCGTTTTTCAAGGAACGGCCAAGGTAATAGAAATTTGCATTCGCCAAAATTTGAATCCCTGCCTTGTTGCGCCAGATGAGGAGCAGGTTTTTGCGGGTGAGCAGCCAGAATTGCGACACGCACCGCATCGTGGCGGTGCCGTTGGGAGGAGTGATAGGTGATTTTGGGTTTGGGTTGTGCGTTTTTGCATTCAAAATTCTGCGCTGGTATGCTAATTTTAAACCTTTTCGAGCTGACGAAGTTCGTTTACAGCTCGTTACAGCTTCCGCATCTTAAAGGGGATGGTCAAAATGCCGACACCCAAAATCCTAAGCCGCAAAATCGATGTTTTAAAGGGAAATGGTGTTCAATCAAGGACATGTCGGGATTCTGACTTTTGAGATTTTTACCGCCGGGGATTTTCGCTGTCGATATTGTGGCTATCGGAGTATAGCTGTCGTAATTTTTACTGGCTGACGAAATTTTGTCTTGCTTATGTCAGCTGTCGCGATTGAGGTTGTCGAAATTTTCGCCGTCGGGATTTTGGTTGTCACGATTTTGGCAGTCGGGATTCTGGATCTCAAGGTTTTAGCTGTCGGGATAATGGCTGTCGAGATTCTTGCTGGCTGTCGGTCTTCTGTCATTCGTGCTTCTGGCTGAAGGGGTTTTGGCTATCAGGAATTTGGCAGTCGGGATGATGGCTGTCGAGATTCTGGCGGACGAGCTTTTGGCTGTCAAGCTTTTGGCTGTCGGTATTCTGGATTGCTAAACTTGAGGGTCGGGGTTCTGGCTTTCGAATTGTTTATCGGCTGTCGGTATTCTGGCTATCAAAATTTTGGCTGTCTGGATTACGACTGGAATTCGGCACCAAGGTACGTTCTAGCCACTGCTCACCTCCAGCCTCATGTCTTAACCAACAAGGGAATCCCCCGAAATTTTGAGTGGTTGCTCGACGAACCCAGCCGATTATCTGTTTGTAGCGCTTGGAAAGGGTCTCAGAGAATCCCGACAACCCGGGTCGAAAAGCCGGAGGAACAGCACCCACCATCCGTTATTTGTTCTCCATCGGATGGGTGCCAATTCCGGGGCCATCCTCTGGACGCCACCCATCCCCCACTCCGCGCAATCTATTTGTTTTCTTTCTGCCGATCATCTGGGTAGCCCACCTAAAAATTTTAGACGGCTTCTGGGTATGCTTACTTACTGACCGATACCTTGAGCCATTAGGTGCCATTTTTGCTTTGCTAGATATCAGGAAAAGGCACTTTTCACACTTTTTCCGTGCAATTAATAAATTACGAACATCGACGTGATTTAGTTGAGTTTTCAGCTTTGATTTAATTGTTTGAAAAACGTTTCTGAGCTCCTTAAAATTATCTGCAATATGTTTTTATACGATTTAAAAGTGTTTTCTCAAAATTTCATTTCTCGTGTTTTTGTAAGCTCGTGCTCATCGCCAATTTCTCGAAATTCTTTTTTTTACGTTGTCGTTGTTTTATCATTAAACCAGCGCCCAAAACCCGCTTCGCGGGCCTTGGACGCTGGAATGCTGCCTTTGCATGAAAAATTTGACTCGATAGCTCGGGTCCTGCGGACCCCCCTCCCCCGACCAAACTCGCAAGTGCAACTGGCAAGAATGAGGAAATTTGTATTTTTCCGCATTATGCAAATTAGCCCTCCTAGACCCCCAAAAATCAATCACCGGCTTTAACTTTGTAAACTTCTATTTTATAGAAATTCCGAACACGTCATCGGAAAGAGGAGGGTCGATTACCCTAAGTGACGGAGAATTAGCGCATTTTATACACAGAAAGGCCCTAAAATTGGGCCGCGAAAGTGACATCCGCACACACACACACACACACACAAAGATACGCGACCAAATTATATAAGGTAGGATTACGATACCTAGGGCATCATTTTTAAATTTTATCATGTTTTTTGATAGGATTTTGGCCTCCATTTTGTTTTTGTTTTTAAACAACCATCCAACTGAAAAGTCCAAACCTCGAGCTCAAAAAACCAAGCTCAAATGCTTATGACAAAACCAATTTTTTGCCGGGTCAAGTCACACCGTGACCACTCCATACACACTCTTTTCTAACCTAAAATTATTTCTAAAAACAAATTCCGACCCGAGCCAACCCTTTTCGATGAACACCTCTAATTATCTGACCGTTAATTATGAAAATTACCAGTTTGAGGTTACCGTACCAGCCGGTATCTGTTTTTTCTCAAAACAAGGGCTTTCTCGAAAAAGGTTCCGCTTTTTCTCGAGCCAAAAAGAGGCGGGGTTAGGCTTGAAAAATCGCGGCAATTTGGGTAAGCCGTCTTTGCGGCGGGCTTCTCTTGGGGTGGAAGGCTTCGACTACAAAGGTGTGGGTTTGATCCTCGAATTAAGATTGTATAGCCGGTGTTTGTGAAATTACAATTGTATGGCTTGTAGTTTCGGAAAGTGAAATCGCAGGCATGAAATGTAGATGTCTTTTTGCTTAAAATGTCAATTGAATTTTGGAATCGCATTATTTTAATTCACTTTTTTTTAAATGGCCTAACACATGTTAAAGAAAATGTAAAGAAAAACTGCCTTTTGCATAGAAGCCATGTCGATTTTTGTAACTTCATTATTTTTAGTAAGAGTTTACTTTGCCCCCCCCCCCCCAACAGCCGAAGGTTCTCAAAGTTTTCGGTCTCTTCACTTATTTTTGTAGTGATTTTTGCAACGCCATTCGATAAAGCGTCCCAAAAAATCTAATAAGAGTTGAATTTGAGCCTACAATGATGTATAATAAAGATTATAGCCAAAACATTTTAGCTCGGGGGGGGTAAAGTAAAGTGCAGCCTTATTTTTTACATGGTTTATTTTACAAAAAAATTTATTTTACAACGATGCCCTTTTTTATATGTAGTGTATTTGCCAATTTGGTTGTTTATCTTGATTTCAAGAGTGTTTTTTTTAATATTCTGAGCATTTGGCGTTGGTTTCCAAATGCTACTATCATTCCACTTGACTTTTAACCGGTTAAGCTACGAAATTCGTGCTGCTGCTTAACTTGCCCCCGAAATTTGATCCGCAGCTTTTTTTATGAATCACCTCCCAGAAAAATATTCGGCTAAAAATGCGATTACTAAACGCCCTATTCGCCCCCACTCGTGATTACTATAAAATTCGAGCCGTCCCCGCATTGGTTTTGAGTGTGGGGTGGCCGTCGTCCCCGCATACTCCGAATTATTCCACCCCCTTTCCGATAGCCGATGGGATCAAATTTCCGAGTACTAACCGGCTTCCAATGTTTTTTTTTGGGCGCTTGAAGCTATTTTTAGTTCCGCTAGACCATAAAGTTCAACGAAAAACTGGGATTTCCCGGTTTTGGAATATGCAAAGCCGGTGGTGCTGATTTTTGAGCGCCATTTTTTGCGGGAAACTGTTTTGCTGAAGTTTGTTGCAATTTTTAAGGGTGATTTGGATCCAAGAACGGTTTTTTAAAGTTGATAAATTATTCCAGTTATAAGACGCTTGCTGTTTAACTCTTGGTTATCGCCTTTTAATTTTGGTCTGAACTACAGACGCTCTATGAATTCTTAAAAGTAGCTAAAAAATTGTATTGCCGTCTCGCTGATCCCTTCAAAACGACGCGAAAGAACGCGTTGCGTCTCACGTCGCAAGCCGCGTCGCGGGTGGCGCTGCGTTGCGCGTTGCCTCGCGCAACACCCATAAATCCATATCCCCAAAATTCATTCATCCGCTTGCTTTAAAAATCCCCCAAAAATCCCTTCTCAAGCTGTGCTTTGAACTTTCCCTTGCCATCCCTCTCCTGAACCCTAGCCGATCATCATTTTCCGAATTGAACTTTGTAAAGTTTGCGACGACCAGAACACCATCAATTGCCGCTAAAACACATCCAGCCACATGTGGGCTTGGTAGAATGTGAGAAATTGCCGCCGCATATTGGCCATGAAATGGCCGCTCCAGGGGGGGATGGATCGCCCATTAAATCACGCATGCCAGGTGGCCCATTTTCTTGAACTTCCTCTTGAAAATGCTATTGCCTTGGCTGCATCGGGGTTGGAGTTAAGGCTTCAACGCACATGCGAAAAAAGCTACTAAAATTTTTAACTTTCGAAACCTATCTGGGGTTTCCCCCTGATTTCTTAACTTGCAAAACTTTTACAATACAAAAAATGGCTTGCCGGCGTCTTTTTCGATGAAGTATCGCTCCGGAAAAAAGGTATCAAATACGTGCTGCCCAATTCCTTGACGTGAAAAACCGGTTCTAGGTTCTGTAATGCGAGAATTGGGGCCCGGCCAACCGAGTTCACTGGAACCTTGAACTCCACAATTTGACCAGCAAAAATTTCTGAAAGGATTAGACGCGAATTTTCGTGATCTCGCTTCGGTAGTAGCACAATGATCATAAATAACTTGATAGGGTCTTAAGGTATCAATAAACCTTTCATTTTTTTGCCCTACCACACGTCGTCAATCTAATTTGAGCCTTAAGGCACGTAAAAACTTTGTTATGGATCTTGTTGACCCTGGATCACTTTTTGAAAGTTCTCGTGCCGTGATACGAAACGCAGGAGCCATTCAGGGAGGGGCCGTGTACTCGTCCCAACGTGTACACCCTATGGACGTAGGAACCGCGCGCACTGCCTGCTCGTGCTGTGACAGGCCATTCCCCTCCTTTGCGGCGTGGGGCGCCCCTCGCCCCCTCGCCAGGTAACCATCCGCGCCTCCCGAGCGGGGGGCCTGGGTTCGACCCCCGGCCGCGGCGAAAATCTTTGCTTTTTTCCAAAACAACGTCCCTGAGCGTGCCCTTTAAAAGAAACGTAATCCATTACGCACTGGAATAGCAGCGCGAGCGTTACGTGCCGGTGTGCGGCGCGGGCTTGAAACGCCTTTAGTAAAGCTCCCCGAACCGTGAAAACATTCGAACCTTTCCATCCCATTCCATCCCAGACCATTCCACTCCTATTTTCGTTCATTAAGCTAACCGCACGACCCCAATTTATCACAAAAAGCTATATTCCACCCCGACGCATGACCAAAATGGCAGAGTCCATTTTTGCGGTGTGCAAAATTTTTGATTAAATTTCGGGGGTGATGGATGGTGATGCGGCTGTCGGGTCAGCTGACCCAGGGGGGGGG